GGTGTTTCTTGTACTGCAGAAATTATCTCATCATCATCAATCATTTCGGCAATTTCTATTCTAGAGTCGATATTAATATAGTTGCTTGCTGTGATATCCTCAACATTCATTTGATTAATAAGTGTTTGAACATCATTTTCTTCATATTCTAATTCATCTGGTTCTTCAAATATTTCCATTTCCTCATTAGGTAGAATACCTGTTCTTTGCCAACAACGGTAGATTGTATCATCAGTTACATTATCCCAAGATTGTGCAGTCCAATTAATTGCATTCAAAATATTTAATTTTGGAATCTCAACACCAAATTCTTGGTGCTCATCAAATGCTTGAATCCTATCTTGGCATAGTAATTTTCTATAATGAGCCTAATACAAAGATAAGGCAAATTTTATTAATATTAAAAATAAATTTATAAAAAAAAAGATGAATATTATAATTACTTTAAATGATCGTATTATGCCCTGATCAATTGGCTGAAGATGAGAAGTTGTGTTTGGTGGAAGAAAATGTAATTTAGTATTGCTCAACTCTTCACCTTCTTCCAATTGATGTGATGAAACATTATCTACTAATAATAAAACATTTCTTCTCCTTTTTTTATTTCTTGATTAAATTGTCTAATCCACATTTGGAAAATAGAACGTTGCATCCATGATGAATTATTCCAATAGTACCATACAGGAAGTGATTTTTTATCAATATTATGAATACAGCATAGATTTTTAAATTTATAGATAAATACTGGAGGTAATTTATGAGTTCCGATTATATTACATGCAAGCATTACAGTAATCCTATCCTTTGATTTCTTTAATCCAGTGAGAGGTCCACTAGCAAGAGATTTATGGGGTTCTAATTTCCAATAAAGACCAGTTTCGTCTGCATTATATACATCCTCCAATTCATACTGTGCAATTATAGATTGTAGTTCAGTTCTAAATGCAGGTAATTCACTAATTGGTGCACTTGCTGCCTCTCCTGATTTATAATGTTCTTTAATATTATTTCTTTTTTTAAAATTTGAAATCCACCCCTATTTAAAAATCAATGATGGATATTTAATAGATCTGATAAAATTAATGCCACAATTTCATCAGGAAATTAATTTAGCATAAACTTGCATAAATCTTACGATGCTGATGTAATATTGTGTAAATCTTACAGTGCCAATGTAAGTTTTACGCTTTTTTATTATTAAACTTACAATTGACACATGTAAAATTTTTTATATTTTCCAGATGTTAAAAAAAAAAGAAATTGATGCTTACTCATCTGGAAAATATAAAAAAATTTTACACGTGTCAATTGTAAGTTTAATAATAAAAAAGTGTAAAACTTATGTTGGCACTGTAAGATTTACACAATATTACATCAGCATCGTAAGATTTATGCAAGTTTACGCTAAATTAATTTCCTGATGCTTGTGATGATTTGAAATCAGAAATATTAAGTCTTTGAGCAAATTGCACTGCCTTTTGACTCAAGATCGCACCAGTTATTGTATAGTTAGCTTCATTGGCAAGATTCACCCAAATCAACAATGCTTCCTCTAACTGTGGCCATCCACCTCCACAATCACATTTTTTACCTAATACAAAGATAAGGCAAATTTTATTAATATTAAAAATAAAATTTATAAAAAAAAAGATGAATATTATAATATCACCCACAGTTGATTTACTTATTTCAAATAATTCAGCAATTGTTTCATGTGACTTGGATGGATTATCACGTT